AAGTCATTCCTGAACCAACCAGATCAGAAATGAGTGGTTTTAGTTGTAATGCTGGTGTGGTATCATTAAAATACTGCATAACTGAATTAAGACTTTTCTTCCCGGAAGAGAAATTTTTACTGCCAAATCAATACTGTCCTTGTAAGTACTACAGTAACTTTTTCCAGGTAGCTGCTCAAAGGAGTCGTAGTTCATATCCAGAAATATGGTGACTGAGGTGACTGCTGTTCAAGCAGGAAAAATATCCTGGAAGTGCAAGCAGATTGGTGATTCTCCCTGTTACAAAAGAGATTTGATGATATTTCAATGCCTAAAGTGGCATTGATACTTTACTGTAATTAATATTTCATTTCAAGATTATTTGAAACATTTCTATAATCTTCTTGAATGCGGCAAAATATTCGTGACAACAGAGTGAAGATTTCCATCAGTTATTGTTTAAATACTGATAGACTGCAAAAAGAGTAGAAATGGCTGATGCGAAATTATTTAGGGTATTGAAGACTAAAACAAGACAGAGTAATATCCAGGAGCTATAAAAAAGGTAGGTACGTGGGCAGCAAATTACATCTTTTGAAATACGGTGTAAGTCGTATTACTGATGACCAATACTAACACTCGTAGGTTCTAAATTAAGGGTAGCCACTCGAGGCGGAGTAGGAGAAGAGAAACATCAAAACTGCAGCTTTGTGTAAAAGTGCAGTAAGATATATCAGAAAGCGAATAGCAGGCAACACTGGAAGTAGAATGCCATTGCATAAATCAGTATTCTGTCTTCACCTGAATTAAAATTGAATGTACTGTCACTCTATTTTAAAGTACAATTGCAGAAATTATACTTTGAACCTGTGTCATTCTGTGAAAGAAAATGAGTGTGAACATAGGCTGTGGTACAAGTGGCACAAGAAATGCCTGCAAATGAAGGAGATTAAAAGATCAGGATGTGTTAATAGGAGTTCAGCAGTGAAGAGCAGGAACTCAGTGTAAGAATATGCTGTGTTCTTTTTAGAGGGGATATTGAACATTCTGTATACTTTTATATAATCAAGAGGAATTTAGTAGTATTGCAGTGTGGAAAACTGAAAGCCAAAAATGGACCCTAATCTTTATATAACATGTTAACTTCTAGAACTCATCCTGAAATTTCGGTGAAGTCAAGAAGGTAGTAGAAGCTATAATACAAACACTCATTCGTACAGATAACAAGAGTATTCATATCTCTGTAGTTGTGAAAAATAGGAGTATTGTACTTCAGGACACTTCAATCAACTGGTGCAACTCGTCCTCCTAGTTTTATATTTATTGCCTATTATTATTATATTTGTTACCTGGTGAACCTCATTATTGGCCTTAAAAATACTGCTTTTCCCACCTGTACACCCCTTTTGAAATCTGGAATTGCTCTAGTAAGATTTTCCAGGGGATACTTGTGAGACCTTAAATGTGCGAGGTTCAGGCCTTCTCAGAGTTGTCTTCCCATGCGGTACCGTGCTCCAGAATCAGGCTGCCTTTGCCCTCAACCGTGTCCCCGGTAGCCCTCCTCCCAGGGCACCCAGGAGATCCCTGTGCTGAGAAATCCTTACTGGATTTGGAGATTTGTGTGCCCTTTGTTTAAGCTGCTTTAAAAAGCAGTAGGGTGAGGGTCTTATTCCAGCAAAACAGGACAACGTATGGAAAGGCAATAAATGAGTTATTAATTTGAAATTGCAGTGGAACTATCAGTTACCAAAGTGCAAATATCAGGTTGCCGGATTATTGGGGTTTTTTTAGTTTCTGCCGCCCCCCCCCTCCCCCCGGCTTAAGTACAGTGCATTCTTTAATGAATATAAACCCCAGATCCTCACTTTGTACTTCATTCGTGAAATACATGAAGAAATACTGTATGAAATGGAGTGACTGTTATGAGTGACATGAAGACAAACGATAGAGAGGGCAGATTTAGATGAGATATGAGGAAGAAATTCTTCCCCATGAGGGTGGTGAGGCCCTGGCCCAGGCTGCCCAGAGAAGCTGTGGCTGCCCCCTCCCTGGCAGTGCTCAAGGCCAGGTTGGATGGAGCTCTGAGCACCCTGGTCTGGTGGAAGATGTCCCTGCTCGTGGCAGGGGGGTTGGAACCGGATGATCTTTAAGGTCCCTTCTAACCCAAACCATTCTATGATTCTATATTCAGTTTTATGGATGGAATGAGGCTCAAGGTGGTAGAGAAGGCTAGTGGTTTGAGAAGTGGAGTCGTCATTCCTTTGCTTGCTACAGGTACAGAAATAGAGATCAATAAATTTGCTTCTCAAACTCAAAGACCCAGGACTGTAACAAATTAAAGGATTAAGCAATCTCTTGTTCTGTTTTTCTGTGGGATGTGCTTTGATGATACTGTGTTTCCAAGAGGAAAAAAAAAACAACCACTGAACTGTAGAAAGAAGTGTCTGTTTCACTGCATGTAGCCAGCTCTTTAAGCTCTGATGAGGAGGGGGAGCGGTAGAGCGGCTTGGTGGGCACCTGGCAGCCAGCAGAGGTCAACCCACCCCAAGGTATAACATGGACTTTCCGTGAATGGGAGGACATCAAGTTAGGAATTACTTAGAAAAATCTATTATCCGATAGGGAATGTTCAGAGAGGCTTTGTCTGCTGTGGGGTGCAATAAATAACTCTGCTGATAGGAAAGGTAGAGGCCAGCATGTGTTTAGTGTGCAGAAGTTTACGACTGTTGTAGGCTTAGATGGACGTAGGTACTTCTTTATCTTTAGCCAATATTCATGTAGATTCTTTGTCTTTTGCTCCATTTTAGGCATCTGATACACCACCTTTGAAGACCAAAAGGCAGAATCTAAGCTCTTACTCACCAACAACAGGAACACGCCAAATGAGTCCATTTTCATCTCCCATGAGTCATAATGCACAAAATCTCAGAAATCGCCCAGCGTGTGGTTAGTTGAACATTCTGTCTTTTGTACTACAACATTTTTCTGGTTATTGTCTTGATTTCATAACTTGCGTCTCATGGTTTGTTGGATTTCTTTTTCTTCTTAATCTCTTTTGGAAAAGGTGGTGTTGATTTTTTAAGCTTGAATCTTTTCAGTATGAATCTTGGGTGTGTTTGTGAAACAACTTGTCTATGAAACAAGTTTTACTTTCTGTTGATCAATATTAAAAATGTTTTACTTTGGCTCAGCAAAAAGAACTTGCACTGGCATTTTTGTCAGTAATTCCATTGATTCCACTGGTTAGGCGTGTTTATGCTAGCAATGTCTTTTGTTTGCTTTCTTTCTAAGTCCCAGCTTTCACTGGCAGAACTGGTACGTGCTACTGACAGTGACTCTGTTCTTCTTTGTATTATACTGGGAGATGTTCTGAGGTTGCTGTGTGCTACTCGCAAGGAGGTCTGCGTTTACTCCTGCAAGGCAGTGCAACCCATTGGTTGTAATAACATAAACAGCTGAGGGCTGCGCTTGCTTGTGGTCAGGAGAGCTGGAAAGAAAAGGTGCGTGCGGTTGATGTGTGTTTAATTTGGGGGCCTTTGGAAAACTATGTTGAGATTTGCCATGCGAGTCCTGGTTTATGTACTTCCAGGTTTCTGGTGGTAAGTGCTCGCATGTATGCATGCATGCATATAGATAGGATTTCTCAGCTCTGAGTCTTTGTCTATGAATATTGAAAGATACGTAGGTTTTATCAAATCAAAGCTAAAAGGGAGCTTAGTTGGTTTAACTCTTCTGTGTTGCATTCTTTTACATAATTTTATATTATTGTTTTTCATAACAAGGCACGTCAAGGCAATTTTTAATTAATCTAACATAACACTGAATGTCAGAAAATCGGCCTTTTTGTAACTATATTATTTCCAGTTCACTTCAGGATATATGTCCACTTAGCTACACAGTCACAGTTTTTGATGCAAACTGTGACTGCTAAGGAAGTATATTTTCAGTAGACTAACCTGCTTTTATGGCTATACAGGTTGTGATCTTTTTAGGTGTTAAGGAACCATTAGGTCACCTAATGTGACTTTTTCGTATTTAAAAAAAAATACAAAGAGCCTTTCTTGTCGTCTTTCCCATACAGAGCCCAAGAGCTTTTATTTCCTTGCAGTACAACTTCTAGAAAGATGGCTTGATCTGAAGGCTTCAAATTATTAAAAAAAAAAAAAAATCCATCACTTGTTAGCAAGTTCCTTGTTCAATTACCTTAGCTATTAAAAAAAAAAAATCTCCTGTCTGATTTTGAATTTGTCTGGCTTTAATTTTCAGCCATCAGTTCTTGTTAGGCCTTTTTGTTGGGTTAAAGAGCTTTTTATGCCCCATATATTTTGGAATTTATGTGCAGTAAGTGAGGCCTCACTAACATTCATGAATTATGATGAGCAGAAATATTCTGAGCAGGATAGAATAACCACTGTTTGAAATTTATTTAGATGTCTGCAGGTTTTTGCAATAGCTAATTGCACCATATGCTCTCATGATGGAGCTGCAAAAGTAGATTTTTCCTCCAGGAAAAAGGGGGGTTTATTTTTTTTAAAGGTATGTGATCAAGAAATGTTGGGATTCTGTCAAAACTGGCTGACCAAGAAATGAAAATTACTGGAAGCCTTCAAGCTGAAAATACTACGGTCTGTGAGCATTGCATCCCTTTTCCTTATTAAAAATAGCGGAGTGCTTGAGGAGGCATGGAAGTACCGGGTGTTTTGGTGGCAGTGGAGCTATCCATAGTTACAGGCCTGCGTGCGGAGGTTTTGGGTTGGGTTTTTTTCCTAAAGAGTAGTGATGCTGGGAAACTAAACAGAAGCAGCTAGATCCTAATTCTTTATCGTGCTGCCAGTCTTCATTATGACCTGGCTTTGTGTCCTCGTTACCTGTTTGTCAAACAGTTTTAACACAGCTGAGTTTTTCCTGAGCACTCACTGCCAGTTGAAACATTCACAACTCTCCTACCAAGTTCTCTGCGGATTCCAGTGCTCCCCAGAATAGCTGTTCTTCTCCGCCAGTGCTATGCTTTTGAATTGGGCGTTTGCCCCTGGAACTAGTACAAAAATGACCGTTTCAACCATTGACATTCCAAGAAGCCTTTGGAGGAAGAATTATACTAATTTCTCCTTATTCTTTCTGTGAGTGATTAAGCATGTCTGAACTAGTTGTGCAAACCTGGTGTATTGAAAGGACCTGTGTTTTAGAACACCCTTGCCTTCGCAAAATTTAAGATGTATGCAGTCGACGCATGTTTAATTTTGTGGCCTTTTGAGAACTAGGTTGAGATTTGCGATGAAAGGCCTGGTTTATGTCCTTCCCAGGCTGGGATGAAGGGAGTACACCTCTGTCTACCAGAAAGCGCGGATCTTTGCCACAGTGCCTACCCTGTCTTGTGAACAATTCCTCCTCTCAAAACTGATGGCTTCTTCTTGATTCCTAAAAAGATGGTTATTTGGCACGGTGGGTATCTTCACACTCACACTTACTTCACATCCAGAAATCTTTAGGGACGTTTAATCAGCCCTCTAAAAGTATTGATCCCTGTATTCTAAAAATCCCCAAAATTCTCTTTGGGATTATTTTCCTCTTCAGTAAAGTTGCTTAAAGCATTGTCTTAAGTATTCCCACAGATACCCCTGATTATGTGTTGAATTTTCTCCGTGGAGTTTAAACCAGGTTAGACAGCAGTCTAAGCCTTTTGTTTTCCAACTTTCTTCTTACTGTGAAAAGTAACTCTTCCAGTGAGCAATATTCTGATTTAGTTTGTTAGGGAACTTATGTCTTTGACATGTAATTTTATCTACTCTATTTTTCTACAGAGAGAAAGGTATTTTCAAAGTATTCCCAGGTCAGATTTCTATGGCTGTCCCTGCTTTCATCAGTAAGAAGGAAATTTTGTGTTTGCATGTGTTGTACCAGTCTCAGGATTTGATGGTACTTCATGGATGAAATGAAGAGCCTATGTGTCTGTCTTTTTTTTTTTTTCCCTGGTAGTAAATATGAATCTCTTCACGCTGTCCAAAGAAACCTTTCAATGAGAAGCGTTGCCAATAGGTGTTGTGTGTCAGATCAGAGATGTGGCTGTTGTTAGTGCAATCAGTTGGTGTGCCTCTGCTGGCATCTGTCATGTCGTGGAAAGGTCAGCTCGTACCGTATTTCAGTTAATTGTTTTGTCATGATGTGGCATCCTACATTCTCACCCAGAATGAAGCAAGAAGTATTCAGATTCAAGCAAAGTGACTGCGTGTTACACCTCGCCGCTGACAATCGCTGAATTCGGATTGCCTGTATCCTGAGGGAGAAATCCGATTAGAACAATCTATGTCCCCAGTGACTACAGTCTGAGGCACTGGGAGCAGTAAACTGTCTGTTAATGTTGCCGTGTCACAAAAGCAGTTGGGAAAAAAAAATACTTTTTAATACAGATTTTAATTTTGTGGCTGTTTGCAGAATATGAAACTATACCTCAGCCTGGCTGGATATTCACCTGCACTTTAACACTTACCTTTGCAAAAAGCTTTTAAAGTTGTATATAATGATAGCGGTCAGATACAAACTTTAAAGTGCTATGGCTCTCTTGAATATCCCTACATGTTTGTACTTACCTGCTTTAATGACCTCTTTAGTTTTAGTTGATGCCACTTTGGTGACAAAACACATGAGAATACACAAACATTGAAATCTACTACAAGTTTTAAAACTTTTTCAGCATCTCTGCATTATCACACACGCCTTATCTCTTAGATGAGAGAAAAAAGGGGGCAAAATGTATCGTATTAAAATGCCTGTATATTAGGATGTCAGTGGGAGAGGTGAACATGTACTGCATTTCCATACTGATATGAAATATGGATATAGGGGAACATTCTTTTTGCCTATAAAAAGTCTGATCACCTGATCATAGCTGACATTTAGATGAATAATTATTCAGTAATGTAGTAATAGCCATCTTTTTTTTTCCTGTGTTCATATAGCTGTAAGATGGTGGTGTATAAGACTTCCTCTTATACCACAGGTTTCAGGTTGTCCTTTTAAACCCACGATTTCTTTTCTCCTTCTGAAAAGACACTTTTATTTTAAGTGTTGTAGTATTTTAATAGATTACACATATCACCTGTAAGGGAGGTGTTAGAGTGTAATCTATAGTCTGTTTTTCTGTGACCAATAAGTAAGAAAACAACAGAATGAAAATTCTTACAAAATTAATGCCATTAGCTATGAAAACTTACCTTGCATCATGCGAAGTACATAAAATTGCATGCATCTGTCTCACTGAGGAGTCAGATGGAAATTACTGATCTTACGAACATGACTTTCTTTCGAATAACTGTGTGGAGGAGTGCCTCAGAAAAGACTAAATACGTGCAGAATGCTAAGATTCCTCAAAAGTAACATTAATTTTAAGAGAAGACGTGAACCAATCCAATTATGAGATAGTGTGCCTTTATCATGTTGTCCTGTGTGTCTTATTGGGCTGCCTGATAATTCATGTATTACCTAAATACCCAAAATCTCACAACTCATTTATGACGTAAATTTCTAAAATAACAGACTATTAAATCTTCACGAGTTTCTCATCCTTGTTGGCTAATATATTTTTAAGATTTATTTTAAATTGATTTATTTTTATTCAAATTAATCCAGAGTTCCACCATTCCATAGTACTGGTCTAAAAGTAATATCTGTTTGATGATTGATGACTGATTTAAGTGCAAGTTCTATGAGTACTTAGATTTAAAATGAAATCTCTTGGGGTCTTAACCGTTACCTACTGTAGTGGAACAGCTTAAACTTTTATAGCACCTTGTCATTCTGAGGCATTTCTAAATGTTTTACAAAATATTAAAATTAAAAGTTAATTTATCTGTGAGTGCTGATACTTGTATGCAATAATTTAGAACTAGCAAGAAGAAACCAAAGTTTTTTAATGCTTAGTGTGGTCTCTCATTTTAGTCTGATCTCAGAAAGAAGACGTATTACAGTGAAATGTGAAAAGCACCTCATTCCAGAGAGTCTGTTCTAGGATCAGGGCATTTGTTAAGGCCACAGTAAAGACCTGTTGTAGTTTCCTCCAAATCTTTGACTTTAAGGTGAATTTCACCTTGCAATAACAGCTGTTCAGTATGAAGCATTTGTAAGAGCGTGTATGCATCTGTTGGAGGGACAGTAGGCAAGAGCTAATTTAAAACACCTTGTGAACTGCTTTGGCACCAGAAAAAAAAGAGCTTTTTTGGATTTTGGATAGATGGGTGTAGTCTGATTGGCTATAAATACGGTGGTGAACCCTGAAGCTGAATTACTGGTGTGCCATTGTAAATCACTAATTGTCAAATGCATTAACGGTCTCCTTGTTTAAGGAGAAAACTATTTTCAGGAAAACAGAATGAATGTGTGATCATGCCTCTCACCCTGCATACGTACACATGCACCTCCACCGTTTTGTCTTTAATGAGTATCAGATCCAAAGAAATCCACTGCACGGGAGAGCGGAACTGTGTCCAGGAAAGGGAGCAGTGTGTGACTGATACTGATACGGAGAAGGGAAATTCTTTAGGTGGAAATTACAAAAACTCCACGTTGTATGATGTCTTCAGCTTGGGCCACAACTAAACAGAAATAATTTCTGCTCTTCATATGTGACCTTTTTATTGCTGGAACCTAGACACATACAACACTTCAAAGTGTTGGAAGGTGACCATATAGATTGTGTGGAGCACAATAACATGAATAGGTACGGCCTCACTAATTTCAGTAGCTTCACTGAAGACTCTTGTACTGTGGGAGCCTGTCAGCTGTGACAGTATATACTGGTTTTTAATATTACTTAGGAGGGATGCCATACGTCTTTCTGTTAGTACATTACCCTCCTGATATGCTAATTGAAGGGCAAGCAGAATTGACAAGTTAATGTGCTGACTTTAAAACCAGTAGTAACTGATAAACAAGATAAAATTTTACTCTGGTTTTGTTCTAATACAACTTCTGTCTGAATTATACAGTTTGTGATAAGTTGTGTAAATAGATGGAAATTCAGAAAGTCTTTTGTGATCAAAAGTCTTTTACAGAACAATATACATAATGAGGCCTTTGTAAGTGAACAGTCTAAGGTAGGTAGCAGCCAGTGAGCCAGCGATGTTGTTTTAGTGCAGCACCAACTTTCTGAATCTGATCAGCATCACTGAAAACATCCCGCTGTCCACCTGCTTTCAGAGAGCAATATGTCTCGGAATCCGGTCATTTAAGAATGCCCAACCTACAGCGGCAGAAAGGCAGTCCACCAGTTTACCAACACCACACGTGAGCCTAGGTTTTATTAACAAATCACTGGGAATGGACTCCTGTGGTAATACCCTATTCCTGTTTCCTCACAGAAAACATGCATCTGCTCAAAATACGCAGTGAAATGTAGAAATATGATTCACCACGCAGAGTAACGGCAACTGGCACGTGATTTATCACGCCCCGTCGTATGACGAGCTAGAATATTATATTGTCGATATAGCATGTCAGAGCCTCTGGACGTAATTTGCAGTATCTCCTTGTAGTTGTTTACAAGATGGAGTTGGGGGCCAGGCACTTTTTATTAAGGGAAAATGGAGGTTTCATTGCTCAGTCATTACGGTATTTTCACGATAATGCTTTGTGCCAGTGTCGCACATTCAGGCGGTTAACAGGATAAAAAGCTTCCGAGTTAACACAATAACTATGTGTCAGAATTATACTAACTTCCAGCTGTTAACACTATAATCCCAAGGTTTCCACAAATATAAATGTAATGCGAATTGATGAGAGGTCAAATTACAAAAGAGTAAATTATAGTGAACTTAGTGTGTTTCATTCCAAGGGACTCTGTCCTGCTTTGTAAGTGAGTCTGGGGCTTCCTTCACTTCCTAAAAGATCATTCAATAGTCGGGGTTCATACTGACAATTTTTTCATGTGCTTCAAATACTAGATATCTTATTTTCATCTTTATTGTTTCTTCCCTTTCTTGTGAACCTCCTAGGAGATGGAGCCAAGCAGAAGGGTTCAGAAAGCAGATTATCCAGGAGAGGGCAGCCTCAAACAGTGGAGGACACGTAAGTGTATTAAGTGCCTTGTGAGTGCGGTGCCGGGATTTTTCCTTATGAAAGATTAATATTTCATACAGAATTAAATTAATAGCGAATATTTTTTAATACTTCTAATTCCACAGGATTGGCTATTCAAAGGCACTGAATGGCAGGCTTAGTTGGAGGTACAGATTAATGCAGGGTTTGCAATACAACTGTCCGGCCAGTTCTGTCTTTCACTGGCAGTGTGGGGCATACTACACTGCCGATCACAGGAGTCATGCTCATAGTACTACACAGCGAGGTATTGTAATTAAACTGCTGAAACGAAGGTATGGTTTGCCTTTGCAGGCTCTTCTGAAAGTGTACATTCCTTTAGCTTATTTTTGGAAGCATTAACTGCCAAAGATGCAGGGCCAGTAACGCTGGACACTTTTTGATTAAAAACTAGCCACAGGTGGTCATGGTGGAACTTCACGTTTGTTTTGCAAAATCTTTTCTGCCATAGTCTTACTTTAAGCTATAAGCTTCCTGACATTAATAGACTTTGGGCAGTGAACAGTTAGTAAAGCACTTAAATAAGTGTTTCAGGTGAAGTATCTGATAAACTGCTTTCCTAAACTTGAACAAGGAGAAGTGATAAGATGCGTTAGAAGTAAGGCTGCTAGTGTCTCATTTTGTTAGTATTGCTTGATCTTTTCTGTTATGAAAAACTTATTTAATTGTTTGTAACGTTGCCAAAGCTCAGCTGAGAAATGAACTGAGATTTTCTGTGCCAACAGTGAGGTGTCAGGCTAAATGTGTTATGCATTTCAGCTGAAACAAACACATCCATCCCTAAGAGTTAGACAAAGGAAATACTTGTTTCGTCTATGATAGAACTTGGTGAAAAAGTGGGAAGCTCCAAATCTCTGTAAGTTGGATTGTATCAGGGATGCCTTGCATCTTTATGGGAAGTCACTTAATTTGGAAGTCCTGGAAGCTGTGAGGTTTTTTTAATATGAAGGTTGTATATGCTCAGTAAAACTACTTTGAGTTTAAACTTTAGTCTAGCTAAAAATCTGAAAGTTTCCTTTCTCAATGAGCAGGTTCATACTTCTTGCTGCTAGTACAGTATTGTCCTAGATAGTCCCCCATCCATTTCCATCCTTTCTATTAAACTGAAACTGCGTTCACCAGAGACTCTTGTAATCTCTTATCATCAAAATTTAAAAAAAAATTCTTTATTCTCATTCTTCTTTATTCTCATTCAACACTGTCCTGAAATGTTATTACCCTGTTGTGTTGTCCTGCCTTTGTAGTTGATGCTTCAACTTGTCCTCTGGTGGAATCTTGACTTATATCTTTGACATCTATCTGAGATTCTAATTCACAGCTCGGCATCAACATGGCTATACCACATCTCTTCTTCTCTCCTCTGCAGCCTTATATGATTTTTTATCATTCTGTGTAATGTGACTGTCCAGTATTTCATTCAGGGCCAGTGCAAATTGTTCTGTAAACTTTCCTGTCTGAAGGTCTGGCACACTTTCCCTCCAAAATCTGAGGTGCATTTCCTGCTCCCCCAGTTGGTCCCCAAGAGCTCACCCCTCAGTCTAACGCAAACCTCCGCTGCCTACGTACTCCTTTGCTGGCCAGCCTCGCTGTGCTTGCCTGGTGTTCCTCCTGCTGACAACAGGTCGTACCGTAAGCCCTGTTGATGCTGAAGGCAGAGCGCAGCTGCTGTGCTGCACCTTGTGTCACTGGAAGAAGCATCACTGTATTCTGTTGCACGTATTAAATATTTGTGTCACGGTTGTACCTCGTGTCCCAGATGGAAATTCCCTTGGGGCTAGACATTTTATGCATGCATTTCTTTTTTACTAACAAATAATACTTGTGGCATTTATTCAACTAAATAGTATGTTTCTTACGTTTGAAGTTGTAGCTCTTCCTTTTGATTATTGCACTTAAACGCTCAATGTGTTTGTTGGGTTTTTATCTTGTAATGGATGCTTTCCTCCACCACTAGGTTGAAATTTCTTGGTTGTAGGACAGTGAGTATCTTCTAAGTGATGGAGCTTGACAGATAGTAGAATTGTTTGGATGGCATGTTAGATACTAAAATATTAAATCTTAGAGTTATACCAGTGGAAGGCTGTAAATTGATTAATGGTGGGGGGGGGTGTTTGTGGTTCAGAAAATCCCTTGGTCAATGCATATAGACTCGTTTCTTAGTGACAGTAACCTTGAATTGCAGAACAATTTGAGCAATCATAGTCTTCACTGACCTCTAAATGTTTGCATTCAGTAAATCAGTATGTTTTTAAAAAAAATGCAAGATTTTCGGGAGACTGGCACTTAGTAACATGCCAGTAAAACACATTTATAAACTAACACCTACACAGTAATATTGATGTGAACTTCCATACCCTTTATTTTACAGGTGGAAAATACATTGTACAACACACAGAGATTAGCATTTTCTTTTCTGCGTAGCCGCCTGTTGCCATGTTGAAATGCAACAGGGAGAAGTTCTGCTCGTACTGTGGTTCTCCTTCTAAACTTGGAGTTTCTGATAAGGGTGGTTCTCCCTGCTGTGGGAAGAACCAATAAATAGGTTATTTCTCCATTGTCTCCACCATTTGATTTGCGTGTTTAATTGCTTCAAAGAGCAAATAGCCTATACATTCATTGCAGGATTTTTTTTCAATATATATTCAGTGCAAATCCTTAATCGTGCATTAAAGTATGCCATTTAGATCTAATCAGATCGGATGTTAAATGAGTAGTAAAATATATTTGTGACTTAAAAGGAGAGATGGTACAACTAAGATGAACAAATAACCTCATGCAATGTTGTCTCTGTTGGGCTCAGTTATCGCTTCTCACGTTTCCTATGGCTCCAAGCGGTGTTGTACGGTCTTACAGATCCTGGGTTTGTGGAGATCGTCCTCTTGATTGAGTTCCTGCTCTTGGGAACAAAGGAGTTAAATTCCTGGTTTTACCATTGTCTTCCTGCATGATCGTAAGAAAATCCTCTAATATTGCTGCACCTGAGTTCCTGTCCTTAAAATTAGGATATAAATATATTTTTGACACTTCGTGTATAGGTGCTAAGCAAAGGCAAGTTATATTCGGTGTTGTATGACACAATCAGGTTGCACAGCCCATCTGTTCAGAGCTTATCTAGATCCATCCGGATCACGATGTGAAGAAACGCTAGGAAATGTTGTAAACATTGCTGATTTTCAGCAAGTGGTGATGTGGCTAATTGGAATTGCTTTATTTTAACTTTTTATGCAGGTTCATGGAATTGCAGTCCAAAGTGGAAAGTTCCTTGGCTAGAATTGTGAAAATAAGAGCAAATCTGACAAGTCTACAGGTCTGATTTACAGTGATTTATTTTTATAATCTACTTTAAGTATAGGATTTGAAATTTTAAAAATGAAAATATCTGCAACATTTGAGTTTTAAAATATAGGGAAGCAAATATAGTACTTGAAACCAGACAGGTTTGACTTGGAAATCCAGGAAATGGAAAAATAATCCAGAACTTGGTAGATCTTTTTTTTTTTTAAACTAGGGGAGTTGCTTTTCCGAGTACACCATTTTTAATTTGTATCACTCCTCATTTTGTACACGAATAAAAGCATATGAAGTAGTTATCAACTGTTATTTATAACTTGAAGTATGAATTATTACTGCATAGATTTTTATATCTGGAAGATGAAATATCCCTTTGTGTTGAAGTGTTTGTACTATTTAATTTACCACTAATGTGTCATCATTTAATAATCTGTTTAATACATGCTAAAATGCAAATCACTTTTCTGTTTTATTCACATTTTGTTTCCTGAGTAAAGTTAGCACAAGGTTCGTTGCTGTGTATCAATATCTGAGAAATAATTCAGTGTACTCCAAGTATTGTATTGATTTATTTTACTTGCGTGTGTGGTCTGACAATGGTTTATTTCCAAAAAAGACTGATACTGATTTAAAAGATTTTAATTGAAATGTTTATTTAGAAAACCCCACTGAAAAATCTGTTCTGTTTCTCCTGCGATTGATAGCGTATGGTTTTAGGTCAGCTGTGAGATGCCGCGGAGCGTGTGCAATGGAACCTTGAACGCTTGCGGATTTCCATTTTCCTGACATATTATAGCAAGCTTGTACACGTGCCAAGATTGCTTTTCTGGGGATCAAGTGTTAATCTGTTTAAACAGCTGAAGACTTACGAATGAAGCGTAAATCGGAGGAGATTTTTGAGTAACCCTTTACAAGGCACCTGAGTGCCGTTTTCCAACGTAGCGTGTTTTCCTGCGCCCTTAGACTCCTCCTCCCCTTGGCTTGCTCTGCGGTGGCGTCTCACGCGTCGTTTATAGCTGATGAAAAATTCCAAAAGTTCTTTCTTTCAGATGTTTTTCATAAGTTGTAGATGTGTGAGTAAGTAGTTTGGGAAGGAGGTATAACACTGTCTTGAATTCTCTTTTTTTTCCAGGCTTTGGAGGGCAGTAAAGAGCTTGAAAACCTTCTCGGTGCCTCGGCCTCGCCTCGCCTCCTGGGCGCGGAGGTGCAGAAGAGCCGAATGCTGAGTAGGCAGATTTCCAATCCTCTTTATCCCTTTGGAACGGTTTCGCGTTTTCCCAGGGCAGGGAAGGGCCGGGGTGGGGGCGGGGAGAGCTCCCAAGAGCAACACCTTTTCTGATGTAAACAGTTAGCTACTTAGTGGGTAGTTGGCTAGTGATTGGGCTGAGCGTTTGCACTGTGATTGCGTTGCCTTTCTTCTCTTGCTGCAAGGAAGTCGTTTTGTTTGTTTGCCTGGTAGGAGGATTAGGCTGAATGTAGGTTTCCAGGCTTTAAAAGTCGCTATTTATGCGTCTTGAAATGATGGACGCACCAGATGCTTGTTGTGTTGGGAGAAGGGCGCTTTGCAGCTGGCACATCTGTAAGACTTCTCCGAAGGAACCCAGAAAGCCAAAGCTTTTCATTTGTACGTGTCCGTTTTTAGGAAACTCTTTGTCCTTACTCCAGGTCGGAGGCTCTCGGGACACGCAAATCCTCAGCAGTGAGAAGTGCGTTTGTACTGCCCTTCTCAGAAGGGGAGCATGTGATGGGGAAATACTCTGATGCAAAAAACTTGCATTATGGATAATTGCAGGGAAAAAAAGAGCTGTTGGCTTTCAGGGAGAAGAAATAAAGATCTCCCTTACCAGGGTCATTCCTTTCAAGGCGTGAAGGGTAGCTGTAGGCACCCCAGGGCCCCAAGTCTTTATGCCTCGGGGCAGGTTGTTCGTTTGTTTTCACAACAGCAACACCTTTTTTCTGCACCCGCATAGCGTGTCTGTGGTACAGGTGTGTGTCTAAGCCACTGCTTCTCCTCGTATGTAACATCATTCTTCTAGACTTTTCATACCGACGTCTGATAATCTAGTTTCCAGCTGACCAGGGAATATAAATCATATATGCATGCACATAGTCCCTGTGTCCAGTCTCCAGACAAGCACGCAAAGGTGATAAAACAGTTTCTTAACCTGCGGCAAGTGTGACGTTTTCCAGTATACGTCATTCTGCGGCCTGCCTGGTTGCTCTGTTTTCTGCTGGAGTGCAAAGCCACTGGAACTAGCTACGGGAGAGCAAAACCTGGGGTGGCTGGGACTGCTGCTTTGCAGCGGGGAGCAGGTGGGCAGTAAAGCCCCAGGTGCCAGAGAATTTTTCTTACCCTAGAGGCTGTGGCTCTTCTAAAGCATTCGGTGCATGCGCCCCGGCAGTGGAATTCATGCACCGCACAATCCCGCAGCTACCGTTGGTTAAATTCCTCTCCCGACTTGTATTCCAATGCTCATTCAGTTTTCATTTTGCATGTGTATACGCTGTGCTAGATCCCACTGTGATGCAAATAACCAGACGCTTTCATACACAAAATGAAGTTTTCTGAAAACAGTCTGTGTTTACATTGCTGCCCTACGCTGTGGATAGGGCAGTGAGCCTGCCCAAGTGAGACGTCAGGCCCGCTGTTGACACCTTCTGTTGCGTCCACTCTTTCTGTTAGCTGCTTGCTGCCTCCAAAATGGGAAGGAATGGCTTTTCCCCCCATCTCTGAGTTAAGAACAAAGCACCGTGTCAGCGCTAGAAGACAAAAATGGGAACAAAATGTGGCATGGGACTTGTAAGCACAACTGCTCAAAATTATGGTAGTTTTGAAGATTGTTTTGTCAGGTTTTTTGAGCACAGTTACATAGGTGAGTGGGGTTTTTGTCATCACTTGAAGAAAAATCCCAACGCTTTGAAAGTGAAGAAGGCAGCATAGAAATTATTTTCTTTGAAATCTCTGGGGCAACATTTATTGATCTCAGATGTATTTTTTCACTAGTGAGTGAAGCAGAAGAACTGCAGCTGTTCAAAAGAAGCCATGGAAAACTTCCTGCCCGAGGTAGGAAACTTTTTGTAACTCCGGTGTAACAGATGGTTTGATGATTCCTCTTAATTCCCTCTCAGTGCTTCCCACTTGAAATAAGTTGGGTAACCTTTGGCATGTCAAAATTACGATAATCAAATGTGCCTCTTCCAAAAACTTTTCCACTACTCACATACAAATTTCATCTTTTCTGCTGTTTTCATTGTATTGGGTATTTCTCCATGAAAGTGTGCAAGGAGAAGAAATCATTAGTGGTCTTCCCTTTGAGGCGTGGTCTGGAAATAAGCACAGTCAGGTCCCAGAGGGGTTACGTGCCTTTCCCGTGTACCAGTGATCCTTGTTCTTCCTCCCCCTCCATTTTCAGCGTACAAGCCAAGCAGCGTACCGCTTTCACCTTATGTGTGTTGTGAGGTCTTTAGCACACTCCAGGGGACTGTGAAATCCCAACTATTAGGTTTCTTCATAACTAGTGCTGTGAAAATATTGGAGGTTAGTGGCGTTGAACACAGCGTGGCCCACATAGCCACCTTCGTGCCTGGTCTAGCTGGGAAGGTGGCGGACGGATACACGCATGATTTATTTTTGACTCTCATCCCCAGTAAAATCAACCTCTGATATTTCTGTTGTCTTCACGCATTCTGTCTTAAAATAGAGCAAAACCAGGGTCAGAATCAGTGAAGGCATCCCTACGGCTCCAGCTGCCGGCCGGCAAGGAAGGAAAATTGATCAAACTTAAGTTTCCTCAGCTCCAGCAGATTGCAACAAAATGAAAAGGAGTGACATCACTTTTTAAGGAATTGGGCTGATTTGTGCAATCTGCTGTTTCTGATTTACAGCTCCCTGTGTCCTTCTGTTGAAGTGATCGCAGCCCCTGCCTGGCACTGATAATGGGGAATGCCATGGGCCGTTGCAGATTTAAACAGTCATTGCTTCCTTTGTGCACTGCTTTTTAACGGTCACCAGGATATACATTTATAGTTCCATCTTTGCTCGAGAAACTAGCCCTGAACGCTAAGCATGTATCCAGTCTTGTTAGGTGAGAAATGAGATATTTTGTGAAAGTAGGATGGAAAATAGCATTAATGAGTTGAAGTTGCCCACTTTGGATGAAGTTTGAATGTCAATTTTGCTTTGATAAAGAATAAAGTCGATTTTACAGCCTTCAAAATACAGTAGTAGGAGAGGCAAAGAAGTCAGTGATAAAAGCGTTTGAAGAAGTTTTGCTTTGCCTTTTAGTTCTGGATGTGGTTTTTCACAATTATTTTTGATCAGTTATGCTCAAGACTTAAAACTTATGACTGCTCTGTGGCTTGGTACAGACGGAATGTCACATTATCATCACATGGCAAGGCATGAAATTGATTTACTTTACATAAACAACCTCTGCTTAAAACAACTTAATACAAAACATTCCTTGCTCAATGGGCAGCATTATGTAGAACTCAGTATATCATTTTGTGTAACCAGCTTAAAAAATGGCAGCATTGTTTGCCCATGACTCGCATTTACAGTAAACAAAATGTTTTTGAATAGAATGTAAGCAAACTGTAACGCGACTGCCAAGAGATGAAATCTGGCCGGTATGTTGCAGTCCAGAACACGCTCTGTGCGTGTTGTCGATAAATGTGCAGGTTGCAATAGGTAGATTTAAAGGAAAATTTAATAGGTTCAGCGTTTCAAGGAGTGAAGATACCATTCTAAGCAGGAAAGCTTCTTAAGCTAGTTGTTACAAATTATACTAATACTTCGCTTACCAAACAGAAAAACATTGGCACAAATCCTGTCCATGACTCTGTAAGAAACAAGAGAGTGTTACAGAAGATCACATACTTGCAGTGTTAAGGAAAACTGTTCTCAGACTGTATCTTGTACTGGAGTAAAAACCACTTTCTTTCCTGTGGTGGTGTCCATCCTGCCGAGCCCCTGGGCGAACACCATCACCCCTGTTAAGCGCAGTTCTAACCACTCCGAACTCCTGTATCGTTTTTAACACAAGCAACTGAAGTTTGCACCCTTTGCAGCAGCAGCGGTGGCTTTCCAAGAGGCTGGATCAGGGTTAACGGGGTAGGTTTTAATTTAACTGAAATTACTAAGGAGAGCAAAGCTGGAGAGATTAGGGACCAAGTCATACTGAGTTCCCACTCACCTATTCGGTTTTTTGAAAACCGTGTATATATGGCGAAACATAAAATCCCGTTTCAGAAAGGCTGCTGAATATGGATGCCTCCTTAATGAGCAGAGTTCCCTCTCGAAACAGATAATACAATATTCTGCCATTTATCCCAACTGGTGTCAGTTTGTGTTGGGTCTTTGTGTACCGGCAAGTAAACAGCTTGGGCCTGGGCTGCTGGTGGGTTGCTGGGAGTGGGGGTAAATCAAGTTTACAATATATTTCTACCTCGTTCTCAAATCCAGTAGCATACACTTGTTGACCTTTAGACATACTGGGATGTCTGTCTCCCACCTGTCCTTGCTCCTCCTCCTCCTTCGGGATCCTCTGGGGGAAAGGGGAATATGTCAGACTTCAGGCCTATATTTTCATGAACGTATCTCTGGATTTTTCTGCCTGTAAAAACCCTAACCTGAAAACATAGGGTTTTTTTCTCAGCCCAACTTTGTATCCACTTGCAGGGAAAAAATGTTATTACAGCTTTTCTGGGAAGAGTAAGACTTGTGAACTGGCTAAGCAGAAATTTATTACGTGAACTGAATGAAACGAGTAAATTTCTTCAGAAAGTGAGTTTCCTTCCAGCATTTCCATTCCTCGAGGGCAAATGGAACCAATACCACGATTGCCTTTGCTCACAGCAAATGCTCGCTGTGCAGGGAGGTGAAGATATGGATAGGGGCTGGACCTCGGTGTCGGGAAAGGCCTTTTTATCGAACAAGCCTGTAGGCCTCTTTCTTAGGGACCGGGACAGGAGCTGCCGGTAAGGATGAACCATGTGCTCTAGTCTGGGCAAGCCCTGCTCCTTGGCATTTGTGATTGAGAGAGGCTTTGGTGAAGTCCAGTTCTTCCACGTTGTTAATCTGTTTGGCAAAAGCTGCTGATGCCGACACAAACGGCAGTTCCTTAGTTCTACCGAGGTCCTTTCAGTTGAATCCTAGGCTTCCTTCCTGCCAAAGTTTGAGATCTCTCAGCAGCCTTTTTGTCATGTACATCATCTCTAAAAGCAACAAAGATGACGTTGAAGGACATTTTTTCAAGCAGACTATTATTAGATGGAGATTCAGAGCTCGTGTTTGCAAACGATATGCTTACGTTAGTTCTTAACTTCACCCTGAAGGCCAGGTTTGGTGTCTGCCGCGTGTCAGAAATGTCTGCTCTGGGCTAATGTCCCCAGGTGGTGCTTGGCAGAGAGGTGCCGGTCGTCAGTACTCTCTCGCTGAAGTCCTGCATCCAGCCAAGACACGTGTTGCCCTCTTGGCCTTACTCAGAAAGGATGTGAAACTAAGACAGAAATTGAATTAAGAATGAATGTTTTCTGAAAGTCCAAAAATACGCTTTAAGTGTGGTATTCGGTCAGCGTAGTACCAGACAGCCTGTGCGCCCGAGGCTGCGTGGGCCAGACCCGGTCGGTGACGCCGCTGCGGTGCGGAGCACACACCTGCCTTCGCTGCAGGACGGAGAACCCTAGGACCAGGAGCGGGGCAGGGTGACGTTCTGTGGCACTGGTGAGACAGCTCCGAGGGGTCAGAGCTTGGTCTGCGTGGTGCGGGAGGGAGCCTGGCCTCCTTCATCTGCTCGTCTGTGCGGAAGATCCATCTGTGCTGCTGCTTACAAGGCTCTTCTGCAAGTAGAGGTGGGGAAACGTTAATCGCAGGGCGGATTTTAAGTTACACCTCAGTGTGAACACTTGTAAACAGGGCTGCACTAAGCGAAACCGTGTGAGAACTGGTGAAGTGCTGAACGCGTGAGTGTGCGTGTGCGCACGAGGACTCGGTGCAGCTCAGCTGTGTACTCGTGAGTTCCTGTGAGAGGAGACCCGGGGAAATCGTTCTGCCCCCCTGCACCAACAGTCAAAACTAACTGCGAGATCGCCCCAGCCACGCAAAGCCCTTTACAGTCCTCTACCACACTCAAAATCCGCAGCGCTAGCGGTTTTCCTAGGTCAAGGGAGTCATCCCGTCTGCCGAAGGCGCACTACCGACAGGCGCGGGAGCTGGCGGGCGGTTTTCTGGGCACAAACTGGAGCAGAGGAAGTTCCGTCTGAACATGAGGAAGAACTTCTTCACTCTGAGGGTGACGGAGCCCTGGCACAGGCTGCCCAGGGAGATTGTGGAGTCTCCTTCTCTGGAGATATTCCAGACCCGCCTGGATGCGGTGCTGTGCAGCCGGCTCTGGGTGACCCAGCTTCGGCAGGAGGGTTGGACTGGGTGACCCACAGAGGGCCCTGCCAGCCCCGACCATTCGAAGGGGGAAGGGGATATTGCCCAGCTCACTAGGGATGAGCCTAGGCTTGGAGTGCCAAGGCCAGGGGTGAGATTGACAGCCCAGCTCAAGTGTGTTTACACCAATGCACGTAGCATGGGCAATAAACAGGAGGAGCTGGAAGCCATTATACAGCAGGACGGCTACGACTTGGTCACCATCACAGAAATGTGGTGGGACAACTCACATGACTGGCATGCTGTCATAGATGGCTACAGACTCTGTAGGAAAGACAGACCAACAAGGAGAGGAGGGGGAGTTGCTCTATATGTGAGGGAGCAACTGGAATGCATTGAGCTTGGCCTGGGGGCAAATGAGGAACGAGTTGAAAGCTTGTGGGTTAGAATTAAGGGACAGGCTCACACGGGTGACATTACGGTGGGTGTATACTACAGGCCACCCGACCAGGAGGAGGAGGTTGATGAAGCCTTCTACAGGCAGCTGCAAGCAGCCTCACAGTCACAGGCTCTGGTTCTCATGGGGGACTTCAACCACCCTGACATCAGCTGGGAAGACCATACAGCTAGGCAGGCGCAATCCAGGAGGTTCCTACAGAGCATCGATGATAACTTTCTGATGCAAGTGGTGGAGCAACCAACAAGGAAAGGCGCG